TTCCTGCCTTTTAAATGACCTTTTGCTTTCTTCCAGGATGATGTTCTTGATGTCATCCCACAAATTCCTCTGGTTTTCAGTCACTGGCATTCAGTGCATTGAATCTATTCTTTAAATGGTCTCTAAATTCAGGAGGGATATATTCAAGGTCATATTTTGGCTCCCATGGACTTCTTTTAATTTTCTCCAGCTTCAGCTTGAAGTTGCATATGAACAGTTGATGGTCTGTGCCACAGTCCACTCCTGGTCTTGTTTTGGCTGAAGATACTGAGCTTCTCCATCACCTCTTGCCACAGATGTAGTCAATCTGATTCCTGTGTACTCCATCTAGCAAGTCCATGAGTACAGCCACCATTTGTGTTGTTGAAAAAAGGTATTTGCAATGAATAAGTCATTTAGTCTTGCAAAATTCTATCATGCGATCTCCAGCAACATTTCTATCACTAAGGTCATATTTTTTACCTACTGGTGATTCTTCTTTGTTTCCAACTTTTACATTACAATCACCAGTGATAATTAACACATTTTGATTGCATGTTTGCTCAATTTCAGAATGCAGAAGTTGGTAAAAATCTTCAATTTCCTCATCTTTAGCTTTGGTGGTTGGTGCGTAAAGTTGAATAATAGTAGTATTAACTGGTCTTCCTCATAGGCGTATGGGTATTATCCTATCACTGACAGCACTGTACTTCAGAATAGATCTTGATACATTCTTTGTGATGATGAATGTCATGCCATTCTTCTTCAAATTGTCATTCCTAGCATAGTAGATCATACGATCGTCTCATTCAAAATGACCAAAACCAGTCCATTTCAGCTCACTAATGCCTAGAATATCGAACTTTATGCATTCCATTTCATTTTGACAACTTCCAATTTTCCCAGATTCATACTTCATAATCCATGTTCCAATTATTAATGGATGTTTGCAGCTATTTCTTCTCATCTTGAGACATGCCACATCAGCAAACAGGGGTCCTGAAAGCTTTACTCTATTCATATCATCAATGTCAGCTCTACCCTGAGGAAGCATTTCTTGTCCAGTCATATTTTGGGTATCTTCTGACCTGAGAGGCTCATCTTCCGGCACTATATCATACAATGTTTCGGGGCTATTCATAAAGTTATCCAGTAATGTATCAGACAGTGTTTCACTGCTACTCATAAGGTTTTCACTGGCCAATTCTTTGAGAAGTAGATGGTCACTTTCTTCTTCCAAGTCTTAGTCTGGAGGCTCTGCTGAAACCTGTCCACCATGGGTAACTCTGCTGGCATTTGAAACACCGGTGGCATAGCTTTCAGCCTCACTGCAACACTCAAACCACCACAGTAGGGCAAATTCACAGACAAGTTTGTCCCCCCTAGCTGTTCTAAACTGCTCTGTTCATTTCCCAGTCTCCCCTGCCCCACTCATTTACCTGACCTGTCCCCAGGGCAAACACCCCCCTTCCTCTGGTCCCAGGCTGGCTTACTGTGGCCTGCCCCTAGGGCACTCCACACACTTAAAACACCTGCCTTCAGATGGTTCCGAGACTGGATTACTGTGGCCTGCACTGGGGGCGGCTCCATGCAGGCAAACGCCTGCCTTCTATGGCTGACTTAATTATGGTGCTGGTGAAGAATAAATTGAATAAAGTATAGACTGCCAGAAGAACAAGCAAAGCTGTCTTGGAAGAAGTACAGCCAGAATGCTCCTCAGAAGCAAGGATGGTGAGACTTTAGTCTCGTCTACTTTGGACATGTTATCAGGAAGGACCAGTCTCTAGAGAAGAACATTATGCTTGATACAGGGTCAGCAAAAGAGAGGAAGACCTTTATTGAGATGAACTGACACAATGCCTGAAAAATTGGGTTCAAACACAGCAACAATTGTGAGGATGTCACCAGATTACGCAGTATTTCATACTGCTGTACACAGGGTAGCTATGAGTTGGAAGCAACTTGATAGGACCTGACAACAAATGCACCAACCTTCCCCCTGATAAAACAATTTGCCCAAGGTTGTTCACCCTCTGGCTGCCCTTAGCCCTCTCTCATGAGGCCTAAAACCATACTCATCCATAATTGAATTAATCATAAATTAAGTCATATGGGTTTCTTTCAGTCCTATTTTTGATAGTGTAAATAATAGTTTTAAATGAAATCTGATGTTCTCTACTTTCCAAATCATTCACAAAAAAAGTGTTAAATCACAAAAATTGGTCATTTCTATAAACGATGTCCATTTTCATTTCTCTCTTCTCTTGAAAATAAGATTTCATCTAGAGCATTTATAGGAGCTCTGGTGGCATAGCTAACTGAAAGTGTGGTGGTTTCAACTAACCAACTGCTCCGCAGGAGAAAGAAGTGACAGCCTGCTTCCATAAAGATTTATAGCCTTGAAAACCTTATGGGGCAGTTCTACTCTTGCAGAACTAGGAGTTGGAACCGACTGGATGGCATAGTTTGGTTCTTTTGGTTTATAGCATCCTGGTCCTAATAAATTCTCCTTTTGAATTTTATCACTTTAAATTTCAATTCTGTGCCGTAAGTGATTCTCCCAGTTATAACTTTTCAACTTCAATGAAAATTATATCAATTTTTTTTCTCTTTCAATGACTTAAGTGACTCTGATAAGCTGTGTTTTGTACAAGATATAGATGACTTCTAAAACCCTTCCAGCTTTAAAATATTGCCAGAGTCTATGATTCAAAGCAATTGAAGAAAATGTTCTTAGAACACTTAGAACTAGATGTTATGTTTTCTATAGGCCATGTGATTATCTATTTCATAAAATACTTTATCCTACCAATTCTAAACTCAGTCTAACAACTTTCCACTCCAGTCTAACAACTTTCACCTTTCTTCTAAGTCATTCAGTACCATGATATATTTACCTTATTTTGTACCCTTTGCTAAGAAGGCATTTAGAAAGATTTAGAACCTTATAAAATCAAATTCCCCAAGTAATATAAACATAAAGTAAAATGTCTGAGCTCCAAAACTGCTACCTTCTACACTTCAGAAACTTAAACTGAATTCTACAATCATTAAACAAAAAGTTCACTCATTAATAAGCCATCCCACTTCCAACACACAATGCCATTTAACTTTTATCATATTGACTGAATTTTATGTCCCTTATAATGGCCAAAAAGGAATACATGCAGTCCCAGGGTTAGAATCAGAGATTCATTCTCATGTCTTTTAAAAATTTGTAGGTGAATTGGAGGGAGCTCTGGTGGCATAGTGCCTACAGCACTTGATTGCTAACCAGAAGGTTAGGGGTTCAAACCCACCAGCAACTCCTCGAAAGGAAGATTGGGAAATCTACTTCTGTAGTGCTATTGCCTCAGAAACCCAAGGAGGGGTCCCTATGAGTCGGAGATGACTCGAGGGCACATAACAACAAAGTGAGCTGGAACAGGTACAGAGGGTTATTTAGTCTTACTTTAGTGGACTGATGGCAGTGAGTTTGGTTTCTTTTTTTTTTTTTTTGGTTTTAGTGCAAGGAAAGGCTTGATGTTTTTTCAATGATTTAAAAGCTACTGTAGGTAAGTGAAAGTGACTGTGATGAAGAATTTGTTGGAACAATCCTTTCAAAGTGAAGTAAATTTACCCAACATTAAAAATCAAGTAAGAGTTGTCCTAAATCCCATGCTCTTAACCGGAAATAGGCATATCAACAATCAACAGCAGTTAAAAATAAGTGTAAGGACTTTAAATGACTGTAACTGTTACTCTTCAATACAACACACACTGAAGGCTGCTCTTGCAGAGTATTCCTTTTTTTAATCTGTAAATTATTGGATTCATATATTTTCATATGATTTGTGAGGAAAAAAACCATTTTTTGCATTAAGAAACATATATCATAGACGGGTATCTATGTAGCGCCAATAATGTTATAACTGCTTAGACTCTTAAAACGTTCATTTTAGGGGGTGAGAAAAAAGAAAGCAGAGAAAGCATGTGAAGTATTGGTTTCTTGGCTTGGATTTTCTAACACAGTTAACAAAGCTATTAAATTTTAGGATTACAACACTAAACGTTTTTACTACTATGATTTACATAGTTTATAAAATATTGCATTTTAAAATATGTTAATTAAGAGTCTTGAAGGTTGAAAATCTTTCATATTCTTGAGTGCTTCATCGTTTATCTTCTCCCCAGCCTAAAACTCAACTACTCCTTCCTTCAAACAGAGCTAACAAACTCCATTTTCTGAGAAGAGTGACTCATAAGCCATAAAAAATCTACAGCAACTATGGTTTGTTGTTTTTTTTTTTCCCAATCTAACAAGTTTAATATAAGGCATGAGAAAGGACTGGAAGGCCAGACAGGGAACAGACAGAGCTTTCAGTCTGTTTACTCCGGGGGCGCCACACTGTACCAATACCCAAAGCTTCCCAGAATCAACTGTTCAAACTGCACATTCTGAACATTCTGTCCTAAAAATTGAAGAGATCCTTCAAATATATGCACAAAAAAAAACCTCTGAAAATAAAAAAAACAATTGTCTGCAAATACACTGCACTTCCTCTACAGAAATTCTTGGAGATTACAAACAACCCTGAATTAAGCATGAAAAGAACACAGTATTTTTGCTTGCTGAAGTAAGATGACACCTTGTTGACTGACGAGAAAGGGAGGCAGGTTTATCTGCAACAGCCAAACCACAAGGCCAGGCTTGTAAGGTTAGCTAAGAAAAGGCTGCACGATATTCCTTTTAGGCTGATTATCTTTGAAAGGGGAGGGACAAAGGTTAGCATTCTAGCAAGGCAACAACTTGGCCATACGGACCCCGCTCTCGGTAATTCCAAGAGGCCTCTCCCTTCGTTTAGCAAGTACTAAACCAGCTCGTAATCCGCCCAACAGTCTTCCCGCCTGGAGGGACCCTGCTTTCCCCACTCGGTTCAGTTCCCACACTCACCCATGTTCCCGCGACCCTGGATCCCCACTGCCTCCCTGGAGGCCAATCGGGGGCATCCTCGCTACTCGCCTCCTTCCAACCGACTCACCTGGTCCCCCCCACGTTTAGCTGGACGATCTCGCCGCTGCCAGCTGCCGCCGCGGCGAAACTGCCGCAGTGCCCTCCCGCCATCTCTGGCGGCTCCGAGAGTGCGTGCCGCCCTCCTTCCCCAGCCAGGGCCGCCGAGCCCAAGACTGGAGCTCGAGGCGGCGGCGGCGGCTTAAGCTGCTGCAGGGCCTGCGGGGGGGCGATGGCCAGGGGGCAGGAGGTGCGCGGAGCCACCCCCACCTTCCCAGCAGCCGGGCGGGGCTCTTTCGCGTGCGCCCCTTCCCCCTCCGCTCCTGCTGCGCCGGAGGACTGCCCAGTCTCCACTTCTCGCGACCCCAAGGCCGCCGGGCGGACCGGGGCCTCCGCTCAAAGCTCAGCTACCACCGTTACCACCACCGCCACAGCGGCCGCTGCCGCCTGCCTCAGATGAGGGGTCACCACTCGGGACAAAATACCGCAACGCTCATCAGTTCGCCCGCCGCAGCCGAGTAGAAGGAAGGAAAGTCCGGGGAGGAGCTTCCCAACCCGGCTGACGCTGAGGGAGGCTAGGGGAATGTGCTCCTGGCATGCCGCCTGCCTAGACGGGATTCCTTTTCTTTCCTCCTCCCCAGGCAATCCCAGGCCCTTTTCCTTTTACATTTAAGATTTTCTAGCATCAGTGATCAAATTCCTAGACTGAGAGCCAGTGTGGACAAACTACCCTGGCTTCTTAACGTTGTCTACCTTCTCAAACATGGATTTAGGAGTGAAAGCAAAAATTTCCTAAAGATTTTAGAAGTTGGTGCCTAAATAGTACAACTGCAGTGAAAATTTTGGAGTTTTCAACCCTTATAGCGCTTATCTCTCAGCACACTTGTTAGCTTCGCCCTCTTCAATTTCATCACTATTACAAGCAATTTTATGTTAAGCAACGGAGGAATCGAAACGACAAAAAACCCTAAACTGCAGTGACCAGCAACAAGTTCCTGGAGTATAGTAAGCACTCAACTAATATTAGATACACAGACATAAATATTATTTATTTTTACTTCAAACAATATGTATCGGAATCTGAACCCTGAGTGCCTACTAAAGCATTTTCAAAATCTTAAAACCAACAATACCTAATGCTCTGTTCCAGCTAACAAAGGCGGTGCAGTATATTACAGAGGTCCTGGTATATTACAGAGGTCCTAGTTTTAGTAGGGAGCTCTGGTAGTATAGTGGCTCAGGCACTTGGCTGCTAACCAGAAGGCTGGTGGTTCAAACCCACCAGCCACTCCTCGGAAGGAAGATGGGGCAATCTACTTCCGTGATACTGCCTAGGAAACCCAAGGAGGGGTCGCTATGAGTCGGGGCCAACTCGACGGCACATGACAACAACAACAGTTTCTAGTACGAAAATCTTGACATGAATTGTGTCTTGGATCCTACCCCAAGGATTCAAACTGAAATGTTGTATGGTGTCATTTTATTATCCTATGATAATTATTTAGAAAGCAATGTCTGTTGGTAAATAGATTAGTGATAGGACTGCTTTCTCTGGATTTCAGTTAAGAGGATAGCAGTAAAACAAATAACGATTTTTAAAAAAGGATAGCAGTATTTATGGATGTAAGGTAAATATTATTTTCCCCAGCTAATAATAAATAACAGCTAGTTTATATTTATTGAGGCTTTATTATGTGCCAAGTTGTTTAGATATTTTCTGTCACTTTTTGTTCACAATTATTTTTGCTATTTTAAAGATAAGGAAACCAGGGCTTACCATGATGAGAAAACTTGCTGGAAATTACATAGCTGTCAAGTAGTGTTGCAGGAATTTGAAGGCAGGCAGTTTGAATTCAGAATCACTTTTACCCAGCCTTAAACACTGCACCATACTTCACTTGGTACTGGAAGGTAACAGTTCAGATTAAGATAGCAGCAAACTAAGAATACTTTATACTTCAAACAATGTGAGTTGTCCTTCCCTTAACCCATAATATTTGATTACTTGAGAATCTGAAACTTTGCTTTCAATTTGGGGAATAGAATTTAGTGGTAAAAAAGCCATTTGATTTTCCCTAGGCCCATACCTTGGAAAAATAGCAGAGAATACTTGCTGACATATTTTTACCCTTAATGAAATCAAGAGGCAACTCAGTGTTAAAATAAGGTCTTATAAAAAAAAAAAAAAATTACTGCTGGTGAGGACTCTTACCTTCCCTGAAATAAACAAATGAAAATGTAGTCATCTTATTGAACAGTAATTATTAACTTTTAACAGGACATCTTACCAGGAGCAGGAAGAGGTCTCACTATTTTATAAAACAAATGGTCGTGGCTTCTTGATGTGTCCAGGTCTATGTGAAATATATATCAAGTGATTTCTTACTTATAAAACTTAAAGGTAGGATATGATTTACTTTTAAAGATTAAATCAAAGCACCATTAACAAAATCAGAGACAGGGAGGGAAGATATTTGTAATATCTGTGAAACCAGCACTTTGAACTGGTGCATTCCTCTTCGACCCCTTCCTGAGAATTTGCATTTCTTCCTGAGATATACTGAATCAGAATCTATGTTTTAACAAGATTCTTAGAGACCCTCAGGTAATTCTTGCAGGTCCCCAGGTGACTCTTCCAGATCCCCAAGTGATTCTTATGTATACATACTCTAAAACCAACCAAACTCACTGCCATTGAGTTGATTCCAACTCATAGTGACCTCCATTGGGTTTCCAAGACTGTAAATCTTTATGGAAATTGATTGCTTCACCTTATTCCCGAGTAGTAGCTGGTGGGTTGGAACCACCAACCTTCTGGTTAGCAGCGAAATGTCCTACCCACTACGCCACTAGAGTCTTTTAGGTATGCGTAAGACCTTGCCAAAATGTAGGTTCTAATTCAGTGTATCTGGGTGGAAATGCAAATTTGCAGCAGTGGACTGAACCAGAATGAACCGGATTGAAGCCCTGTTTTTCCCAGAGTGACAAAAAAAAAACAAAAAACAAACTCACTGCCATCTAATCGGTTCCGACTTATAGCAACCCCTCCTTCCATTTCCAAGGTGGTATCCCTGCAGAAGTAGATTACCCCAGTCTTCCTTCCAAGAAGTGGATGTGGGTTTGAACCCAGCCTTCTGGTTAGTAGTCAAATGTCTTAGGCATTATGCCACCGGAGCTCACCTAAGTGAGAAGATAAATTAATTATCAGCGTTGAAAAGAATGCTTCTCTATTAATCGTTAGTTAACTAATCAGAGATTTCTTGTTTTCCTAGACTGATTTTCAGCCATAGTAAACTACTGAGCAGGTGGTTGCAATCAGCTTTCCATCTTACCCAGGCAGCTGTTTTTTAGCAACATACTATCTTGATTTATGCTCACAGAGAGCAGAAGCTCTGATGTTCAGCATCATCTACCCTATCCCATTTATTGGTAGTAATTATTGTATGCTCTGATGGTGTAGTGCCTAAGGTATTTGACTGCTATCCAGAAGGCTGGCTGTTCAAACCCACCAGCCACTCCTCGGAAGGATGATTGAGTGATCTACTTCTGTAATGACACCATCTCGGAAACCCAAGGAGAGGTCGCTATGAGTTGGATCCAACTCAACGGCAGTGAGTGAGCACCTGAAAAATAACCAAGTGGAAAGCAGGGCTCTACTCTGCAACTCATAGGGTCACCATAAGACAAAATCGACTTCCAGGCAACTTTTTTTTTTTTTTTTTTCAAGCACATCTACACACTGAATAGACTAAGAGCTATAATTAACTATTTGTAAATTTGAGTCTTCAAGGGGTACTTTGTTAACTCTTTTCTCCAGATTCTCCAGGTGGAATTTTTAGGTAGATCTTGTAAGCACCAAGAATATAATCTTCAATTTCTGGTTTCAAAATTTCTCCTAATACTGGCTATTAAACAAACAAACAACAACAAAAACCCAGTGCCATTGAGTTAATTCCAACTCGTAGCAACCCTATACATCAGAGTAGAACTGCCTCATAGGGTTTCTAAGGCTATAAATCTATTCTTGGGAGAACACAATTCAATACATAACATGTGGTAAATATATATGTAACAAAACATTTTCCAATTCAACATTTTTCACAAGTACAATTCAATGACTTTAATTGTGTTCATCATGTTGGGCAACAATCACCATTATCTGTTTCCAAATTTTATGGATGTTATGTTATACACATTATGGTATTTTAATCATTTCCAGCTTGGAATATTGTCACCCTTTTCTACAGTCTCGTTAGCTCTGAATTTCTCTTTCCTGTCCCCAACATACCCCTTATATGTCAATATGGACTTACTGATGGGACATGGAGATGCATTTTCTTTTTTTTTTATTTTAACAACAACAACAACCCTTTAGTTAGTGGTTTACCTGCATTCTCCACCCACACCTTATAACCATTAAAAAGTATTTCATTTTTTGTGAAACTCTTTACTTGACTTTTTATAATAGTGGTCCCATACAATATTTGTCCTTTTGTGATTGACTAACTTCACTCAATATAATGGATTCTAAGTTCATCCTTGTTATGAGATGTTTCGCAGATTCATCATTTTTCTTTAACCTTGTATGTATCTATGTACCATAATTTCTTGATCCATTCCTCTGTTGAGGGGCATTTCATGTTCTTTTTGCTATTGTTACTAGTGCTGCAATGAACATGGGTATGCATATATATCTGTTCATGTCATGGCTGTTATTTCTCTAGGATGTATATTTAGTGGTGAGACTGCTGGATCATATGGTATTTCTGTTTCTAATTTTTTTTTAAAGGAATGCCATACTGCTTTCCTCAGTGGTTGGACCATTTTACAGTGCCACCTGTAGTATATGAGAGTTCTAGTCTCTACACCCTCTCCAGCATTTTTTGTTTTCTGGGTTTTTTTGTTTGTTTGTTTGTTTTTTTAATTTGCTATTAGTGCTGTTTGATTTGCATCTCTTTAATGACTAATGATTGATCACATTTCTTCATGCTTGCTCTTATTGATGTTGTCAGGTGCCATTGAGTCAGTATTGACTCATAGCAACCCTATGTACAAGAGAACAAAACACTGCCTGGTCCTGCACCATCCTCACAATCCTTACTATGTGCTAACGGGGCAGGGAGATGGCACTTCTGACCTCCTCTAACTCCACAAGAGGAAGACGGAATCACCATCAGCAGCCTATAGCCTGTTCTTATGAGGCCAGACATGCCACCACCCTCCAGCCCTCTTATTAACCTTGTCACCTACCATTTCTGCTGTGGCACTCACTATCTCTCTGCTGGGTTCAATAATTCACTGCAGTGGCTACACAGAACTCACACATTATGGGGTTTATTAGGGAGGCAGCAGCCTACAATTCAAGTTCAGGAATGCATTCAGTCTCTCTCAGCCGGTGTCTCTCTCAGCAGCTAGC